GATACAACTCTAGCTGGAGTGAGAGAGGCCTGTGATGATTGATGACTCTCTCCCTTGAAAGCGTGAAGCTCATGTGACTGGACTACAGTGCTGCAGGGTGTAAAGGAATGAGAAGTAGCAAGCCCTAGCTGTGCAGAAAAATCAGGACCTGCCAAAGCGGGGGGGACAGAGTCCCCGTGAAACCTGTCAAGCGTGGAAGCAAGCGATTGCGTGGATCAGTGGGCCGTGTTGGCATGACTGATAGCGTTGTGGCTCTTACTCATGCAAGCGGTGCCATCACCTTTCGGAAAGGCACAAGCGTGGATGAAAGCGCAGTTGGCACCACGGGAACACTTTCCCGATTGCCACTGCGTGCAAAGCTGCTTGGTTTCACCATTGATCACTACATCTTTAACCCAGGAGCCCGAAGCACCCTTAGAGGCCCCCTTGCCCTTTGAAGGGCCCTTGTCCTTGCCTTCGGATTTGCCTTTGGAAGCGAGGAGGCTCGCCATCTCGCCTCGAATTTCCGTGAACTCGTAGAGCGCGTCGTTTAGCTTCCAGCCTTTGTCGGACACGAGGGCGTAGATCTGTTGCCATAGTTTACAGTCAGCCTGTTGAGCTTCCAAGATTCTCGGTGCGCGAAGACCTGAGGATGGGTCGTAACGCTGCGACAACAGGTGCACGAATTTGTTGCTGTAGGCCTTGAGGCGAGCGAGATGAGCCGAACCAACCATCGCTAGCGCCACATCATGTACTGCAAGAAGCCGTTGAACTCCACTGATGCCCATGCCGTGGTCGTTGACCTCGATGGTGGGGGGGTCGTCGAGCAGGAGGTTGGAGATCCCCAAAACCTCCAAGCGAGGCTGTTTTTGAGGCCTAGAAATCTGAAGATCGGCTGCGCTTTCTTCCGTGAGGCGATGTTTCCACGGGATCCAGCGGTACTCCTTCTTTGATTCCTGATGAGCCGCAAGAGAGATCAGCCGAAGAGAAGGCATGGTGTTCGGGGATAGGATTTCACTGGTGTAGTCCGTTTTGAACTGCTGCTTCATCTCTAGGAGCTTAGTTGATGTGAGCTTGGGAGCGAAGCTTTCCACCCAGGAGCTCGGATCAGATGTGGTAGCCGTGGGAGTTGCTGCCGCTGAAGGTGCACTGGAAGACCAGACGCCTGCCCAGGCCGCACGAATCTGGGATTTTTGCAGCCTAGAGAGCTCAACCTCGCCGAAGATTTCCGGTAGGGCCTGTTCAAGCTCCGCCGAAGTATCCACCACATGCTTGAAAGCATTCAAAGACCAGCCTGCATCGACTGCCCCCTTAACGATGTTTGCCTGCAGGCCCTCAGCTTCCAAGACAGATTGCAAGGACATGGCGGTGAGCCACCTAACATGCGAAAGCGAACCAAAACAGCTGCGGGGTGAGACGGGGTGAAACCAGCTGCAAAGCTGTGCTGGTAAATGGACGCCAGAACGGACCGGCATGGACCTAAAGCTGGAAGAGTCAATCAGCGTGAACAGGAAGCTGGATGTGCGGCTAAGGGCAGCAGAATCTTTTCTCCCCGACATTACCGCAATCAGCCATCGAGCTGACCAAAAGCTAGGCAACAGGCTCTGCGTTTGCACAGTTGCAATCTCGGGTTATAGTCGCAGAAAATCTGCACGGTGTCAGCGTGGAGAATAACACCACAGGCGGCTTTAATGAAACCCCCTGCATGCGGATGATCTTGATTTTTCTGAGCAGGTACCATCACGTGTTGGATGTTCGTGCACGAGCCAAAGACAAATTCCTCAGCAGGGCCGAATGATTGGGGTTCGTCGCCCGAGCTATCCCCACTTGCCTCGTCCTCGGATTGAATTTCCGCAAGTGGGACGGGTTGATGAGATGGTGTTAGAGCACTGCCCTTCTCTGGAAAAGATACTACGGGCAGGTGGCCATCTGACTGCATGGAGAAATGCTTGAAATGAACCCAGGAGCAAGCTGTAACGGCCTTGGAGAAGGTTTCAAGGGCCACATCGGGTTCAGCCATGGGGTGTTGAGCCCCCCGGTGAAGAGGGGTCATGAATCTGCCTCCTGCTCGAACACTAAACTGAATCTTCATCTGAGCACGCAATGCAGGAATTATATCTTCCCTGCTGTACAGCTGTGAAGAGGACTGCCTATGATGTCCTTGGCAAAGCTTTTCCACCTGTGTGATCTCCGGGCGCTGGCCAGCCCAGCTAAGCATGGTGGTTTTGAGCGAGTGCACCGTATAATTTAAAGTGGGGGACGCTACCTCTGCGGGCCTGGAGCTCTTCCATGGAAGCAAGATAGCGTGGCGCAAATGACGCAATGCAGCAGCGTAGGACATGGGTTGCAAAGGCAACAGCGGTTGCCCCGAGCTATCAACAGCCAAAAGCAAGGTGGATGGTAGCGGTACCTCAGGGTGAAGCTGCAAGTGTTTGCCTGCCCAGGTGTCCAGAACGCAGAGAAACCTGTGACACCAAGAGAAAGCCCCGTGGCTCAAAAAGCCATGAGCAAGAAGACCAAAGGGCTGTCCGTGGGAGCTGGTTTTAGTCTGAAAGCAAGAGCCTCGAAGGGTATGGCCATCATACGACAATGATCGCCACAGAACCCTCTGAGCATCCATGAACCGTAAACTGGACCACAAGATGAGGAGCATGCCCCCTAGAACGAGAACCTCAGCATCCGAGCAATCCCGCGAGAGCACTCTACGTTCAATTTGTACCACTACGTAGAGAGAGAGCGGTACCGCCTCTTTCCTCTCTCTGGGCAATTTGGACTTCAAAAAGCTGCCAATGACTTGAGAATGGGCCACCGACAAACTGGCCACCTCGAGCACCTTATGGATCCAGCGAACAGCCTTGATAGCAGTAGCAGAATGCTGACCTGACTCGGGGTCAGCGGCTCTTGCAAGGCTCATAACCACTAGAACATCGGCTAATTCAAAGGCAGTGATGGAATCCAAGCGTAGCTTGAGATCCTCTAAGGTACTCAGGACCGTGCGAAACGCGGAGCAGTAGCGAATGACAGTCGATGC